TTAACTTTATAGAAAAAAAAAAAATGAAAAAATGTGTTTGAAAATTAAAAAAAAAAAAAAAAAAGATTTGATTCAAATTCAATTCGTCAAAAAACGAAAAGAAAAAAATTTCCAATTCTCTTGTTGTTTTGATCCAATGGAATACACAGGGTAAAAAACGTATTGACTTTTTTTCCCATAGCAACAATAATAATAACAATAATATCAGATATTCGTTTTAAAGCCTAGAAAGTAAAACGTAAATCGTAATGTCCAAATACAATTTTCAGTATTTTTTTTTTTTTTTTTGTTTGTCCATTGTGTATTTTGATTCTGTCTATATATATGTTCTGTCTTTGTTCAAATTCTATTATTTTTTTTTGTTTGTTTGCCATATTTGAACGAAAAAAAAAATTCTCCAATCGCCATTATATAATACCTTTGTGTTGTTGTTGTTGTTTTCAAAATCGAAAATTTTTTTGTTTTTGTTTTTGTTTTGAAATTCAATGATATGATTTATTGACTACTTTTTGTGGATCGAATAAAGAAGCTAAGTAAAAAAAAAAATACTGGTGTAGTGGCTTTTCGCTATTCTCTCCTGAAAACAGGTCAAATTTGTTTCAGATTCATTATTCTTATACAGAATTTATGATGATGTTTTTTGTTGTTCAATATTCTGATCATTCAAAATGATTAACATCAGAATTGAAAGAAATATTTTTTTTTTTGGTACTATCGAACGAAAGAAAGAAAGAAAAAAAAACCGAGAATATTAAAATGTCAATAAAATTTTCACTTTTGGTGTTTGGTGTGTCATTGAATTGCAAATATGTTTTTTGTTTCTGCAGTTCGAAACAAGAATTTTAACCAATTCGTTTTCTGAATTTTGATTGTTTGTGTGTGTGTGTGTGTGTGTGTGCGTAGGTGTATGGAATCGGGAATTGAGAATTCCAAATGACAGAACCAGAGCAGAATTTATTTTTTAAAAAAAATTTATTTTCTCGTTAAATTGTAGTTTTTTCTTCTTTTTTCTTTGATTCCAATCTGTGATTCTTGGATTCTGGTTTATAGATTTCATTCTCATCTGGCTTTGATTCTTTAAATCTCCTTTTAAGAATCATACTATGAGAGAAAAATATCAAAAGAGAGAGAAAAAAACGATTAGATCTTTTCATAAGAATTGTCCACAAGAAAAAAAAACATCCCAAATAAAATATTGACATTAGCAGTGGACATAAAATTATTGATTCACATCAGAATTCTTATTTTTGGTTTCTGATTTCGTAGATTCACCGGAATCTGTAATAGCAAAAAAAAATTCTTGTTTTTTTTTTACCATTTCCACATGATTTCATCTTTATATTTTTTTTCCTTATAAAGATTTTCTTCATTTTGGCAAAATTATCATCATCATCATCATCATTGATTCCATACATGTTTTTTTCTCGTGTATCGTATAGACAAATTACAAGAAACCAAAAATAGAAAATCCCAATGATTCAATGAAATCAAAGAATACTGATGATCATAATAATAATAATCATTGTTTTCAATGATGATAATTACACAATTCTGCAATTCTGTTTGTTTGTTTGTTTTTTAGATATGAAAAAAAATATATATTTCCTATCATAATCATCATTATTATACTTTTTTATTATTCTCGTTATTATTACATAATGCAAGAATATTCTCATTTTATTTTTACAAGTATTATTATTTTTGGTAATATAAACCGATTTTCTGGGATATGAACCAATCAAACATAAAAAAGAGAATAATCTTCATATTACAATGGAATATCGTTTTTTGTTGTTGTTGTTCTGTTTATCTAACATTTGCTGTTAGATGATAAAAGTCAA